TAACAAGCTGCCTCTTAGCAGTGCGCTTAGCAGCCCTACAGCTACAGCTAGTAAGCTAGAGTTGGGGCGTGAGCTTTATCTCTCTCGCTGGTACACACACACACACACACACACACACACACACACACACACACACACACACACATTCTCAGAAATGCACACAGATGCACAAACACATCCACATGTGGGTACACAATTATCCATACAGACTGTGCACCCACCTTGCATAGACACACACATACCGGTATGTGGACAAACCGTATGTGGACACACATAAACGTGTCTTCACAATCATGCATGTATACATACATGGAGCATTCGCTTGGCTGCCCAGGCAAGCACACAGACACATCCCATCCCTCCTGTCTTATATGTGAGTGATGCTGACGTGAGGCTGATAATGAACTCCTAATGAGGAGGATAAGTCAGACTGTGACAACCGGAGGCAGAATTTCTCTTTGGGATTACTCTGGTCTCTAACTCCCGACACAATACTGGCTTTTCATAGGCTACTGTGAGACTATACAGGCATCTGCTATGTTTAATTAGTGAATGGAAATGGAAAACAACCCAGATCCTAGTGTACCTTCAGGTACTGGATAGAAAAAAGGAGTACATGAAAAAGAAGCATTGTCTATATAGGAGACACTGTCTTGGCTGCTGCAGCAGGAACTGTAGAAATATTTTAGTGTTTGGAGTGAGTGTGTGTTAGTATTTGAGCGTGGTGTCTGTTAGTGTTTTGGTGAGCAGAGCGGCGCTGTGGTGTGTTTATAATAACAGTGGTGAGGTTTCACAGGCCAGCTAGGCTGTTGTCCTGTTACGACTGGCATATTTGGTAGACTTTGCAGGAAACTGTTCTCCCTCCTCCATTTCTCTCCATCTCTCTCACGTCTTTCACCACTCTCCATCCCCCATCCTTCTCTTCCTCACTTGCTCTCTGCCCTCCATTCCTCCCTCCCTCCTTCTCCACCTCCCTTTGGCCTGAATGAGGCGGTCCATTCATTTTTTTTTCTTCATAAGTGATTCAGCTGCACGCCTGGTGACATAAGGGCTTCTCTTTCTCTCAGTCTTTCTTTCTCTACCTCTCCTATCCTTTACCCCTGCCTCTCTGTCTATCAATCTACATCTTCCTCTGCCGCTCCCTCTCTTCTCCCTCTCTCCCTCTCCCCCTCTCTCTTTGCTTCTCCCTCCCACTACCTTCTTCCCCTGCATCTCTCTTTACCTCCCTACCTCGACCTCTCTGTCTCTCTTCCTCTCCAGGACCATGTATTGGTGGTGTTGATCTCTGATACTCAGGCCGCTGTGCAGCGCTGTTTTTTTTTAATGAATGAGGTTTGGCAGCCGGCGGCCCCATCATCCAGCTGAAGCTACACATTCCACGGACGCCCTCTCACAGTCGCAGCTAGGCCCCTCTCACACACAACCAAAATAAGGTTGGCCGTGCAGAGCTTGTGGGTGCGTGTGAGTGAGTGTGTGAGTGTGTGCGTGCGTAAAAGATCCCTCTGTCCATTCACACACAGACAAGCTCAATTAAACAGAGAGGGCTAGGCAGACTAATAAAGTCAACATTCAGCATGTCTAGTTGTCAGGTGGAAACGACACCCTCTCTGCTTCCGACAAGATGAAAACAGGTGAATGTACACTATGACAACATGTAGAGGAATATGCTCAACACACACGCACACACACAAGCTCGGCACGGTCAACCTGATTTTGGTTGTGAGTGAGGGGCCTAGCTACGACACACACAAGATGTCACTACGTTAAGTAGAAACCGGTTCCAAGTTAATTTGTTTTTGTACAGATGTAGGATCTTAATTTGAGCCAGTTTGCTGCAGCATGAAAATAATCCTGCAGCAACAGGAAATGTGAATTATTATGTGGATTATAATTAATGGACATTTCTGTAGGGGTAGATACATTTTTCTTAAGGGAAAATCAAGTCTGAAATTTCAGAGTGGGAATTAAACTTCAGAAGCCTTTTTAAACCTCAAATACACTACAAGCTTTGCATTGCAGGAAAGTTCTCCTGCAACAGGGTGATCAAATTAAGATCCATAATCTGTACATGATCCAGGCCTTTTTGGGGACTATAGTCTAAACCTATGAGGGCAGATAGAATAGTCCAGCCCACTAACCTTGTATCAGTGGCACAGAAATTCAGGAATCTATGGCACAGAGCGTAATGTGGCGGGTCTCTGTGGGAATGAATGTGCGTCATTGAGAGAATAGGGTTTCCCTCAAATAGATTCTCGCTGCACCCTTTTCTCCTTCAAATTCAACTGAATCACACCCTCCCTCTCTCTCTTTCACTCTCTCTGTCATTCCCTCCCTCTCTCTCGCTGTGGCATAGAAATATAAAGACGTTACATAATTAGGTCATATACAGTTTGATAATTGAACACAATTCTGAACTGTTTATAGACTGTTGGAGCCTCATTCCCCAACTATTTTTCAAGTATTCAACTATTTTAGTAGAGGCATTGTTATTATGTATAGCATTGTATAATATACATATAATATAATAATAATAATAATAATAATAATAATAATAATAATAACAATAATAATAATAATAATAATAATAATAATAATATAATATAATATAATATAATAATAATAATAATATAATAATAATATAATACAATATAATATAATAATAATAATAATAATAATAATAATAATAATAATAATAATAATAATAATAATATATAATATGTGTGTGTTATTGGGGAAAATGAGAAGGAGAACTAATCTCAAATAAAATGGCTTTTTCAAATGTCCTACTTACAACTTCGCTATTACTGAGCCAAACGTTGGATTGAATTGGCCCCAAATCCACTAGAAAAGGGTATTTCCTTGAATCATATCCCTCTAGAAGCCTCTGCTAAAACACAAACATATTTTGCAGCTAGCTAGCCCCCTGCAGCGCTACCACAGAGCTACTCACACTGTCTCTGCATGCACTCAGTCTAAAAAAAGATTTATATCATTATATGCCATTAGAAGTACTCTAATGTTCTAAGAAACCCCCCCTGAAATTCATTAAAAAGCTCTTTATGAAGCAGTAATCTATCTGAAACAGTTTCATCTGACATTACAATGTGTTCATCAAACTATACATGCTATTTATACAGATGGTAATTATTTACTAGTAACTGAATGTTCATAAAGCCTAGCTTACACGTCTATAAACACATCGATAAACGTGACATTATGGCTACATAGAGCAAAACAATGGCGACAGGAACGTTTGAAGAGGCAGTGGAGGACTTCTTGGAGCTGTTTGATGCTGCAATGTAAAGCAAGAACACATTCTGGCAGGCAGTCAGCGGAGGCTGGCTCATAAATACTGCAGGAGGACAGGTTTATGAAAATCTATGCTTCTCTGAGTTGAGCGAGAACTGCACCCAGAGGAGAGCTACACACACAACACACACACACACATACATGCATGCACACCTACACGCATGCAAGCACGTGCACACACACACAAAACGAGATAAGGTTTTTTTTAACCCTTGGGAAAAACAAAAGGCTGTTTCTCAAATTATACACTGTTCCATTTGCATTGCACTAAAAAGCCGTTCACTATGGAGAATACAGAATAATGTCCTACCATCATGGGGAATGGGTGACATTTGATCATTTCCCATACTGTACAGAACATACAGTGAACCTGCTGACCAGCGACCAGGCCTGTTTGTCAGACAGACTTGTTTTCATCCAGCCAGTGAGCCTCTCCTGGTGTAGCTAGCCTTCTCTCTCAAGAGGCTTACGCAACTCACTTCAAGGAGACGCCTGTGGAGGACAGGACACGCTGCCTGGCCTGCCGCTCCGCACAGCACAGCACTCACCCTGACCAATCGCAAGGCCTTTTGAGTTTCAAAGCTCCCGTAACCATGTACCCTGAGAGAGGGGGGCCAATTTGTCAGACCTCGTGTCGTCGTGTGTCGTTAGTGAGGTTGATCAGCATCATTGAACACGATTCGATCATATGGCCCATCGCTAACACACTGTTCAAAAGGGATGTGCCCAAAGTCACTCAACAGTCAACACCTAAACACATGGCCTAAACACGGATATTATCTCAACTTGGATACCTTTTTATTTTTGTTTATTCTAAACTATCACTAGAGGGCGTAACTTCAATGGGAGGCAACACAGTAGTAACTGCTGAGAAGGTGTGGAGGAGATAGAGCTGTTGTGAAAGTTTACCCTTGAAGATCAGGAACAACAAATCTAACATTTATGAGTGAAGGGTGTTGTATGACAGATATCAGTCGTTGTTGATTCACTTTGTTGTAGAAATCACAGTTGAGATTATGCATTATGAACACTACCCACAGCTCTGGTTGACATACTAGAGTACCTCAGCTTCATATGGATGTGTTCATACACATCATACATGCTGAGGAGGATAAAAAGCTTTGCCAGCAGTACAGCATGTCTTCTCTGTTGTACATCTTATAAAGGCTATATACTTGGGGAGTCCCATGCACAAAACTTGTACATCTGCATTTAAAATGTAGCAGCTGTGCTAATGTTGGATTGCAATTCAATTATGAGAAAATATATCAGGAGATATAAAAAAGTCCAACATTGCACAAAATGTGTTCTTAAAGACAGGAAACCCCTCTCAGGATACACAGTATCCTTAGACATAAAATAAACAAAGCACAAGGCCAAATAAAACAATATGCAAGGTCAGTAAATGCACTTGAATACAATAAAAAGCTATTCTAGAATGTGTACCTTCACATTTAGGATTAATTTCTTATCCATATAAGCCACATTCAAGCCGGTCTGTAGAATGCAATTCCTGGTAACTACCTTATAAAAACACATCAATTACAGTAAACCATGCGGAAATGTGTTTGATATCAGTCTCTAACTACTGATAACCTTTTAAAATTGGTGTGAGCTGATTTGAAAGCCTTTCCTCCGACCCACAGCCACCTCGCTAGGTCAAACAAAAGGCCAGGTTTGAGGGCTGGTTATCAGCCCTGACTCTGTCTCAGGTGACCCACCCTGGCATGACGTACTACCTGAAGGACAAAGCAATCCTTCACTAGATGGATGGACTGGACACACAGTATATACACTATACTGACCACTGGACCATGGCATACAGTTGTTTTTCAAAAGCACAAACACATACTTGCCATTTGAACAGTGGCCTACTTTAAAATAGAAAGAGAAAAGGCAGCCAGGGTTGGAATGTGCATGCAGAGAGTATTTCCATTGAATAGTGTAGATAAAGTGCTAATGATAGAATCAGCACAAGTAAACACACGTGTTCTATATTCAGAGTAGCCTCTAGGAATATGCGTTAGAGAAGAAGCTGAGCTTTGAGGCATCCAGCAAAGTAATTCGAAGGGCCAGTCTAATGTTATAATAATAGGCGTAATAATAATAACAATAATAATAACCATAATCATAATCATAATAATAATACATTAGGGCACAATGCGTAAATTGTGGGCACATTTTTTTGCCATTCCCTTTACCTAACCCAAACGAAAGAAAAATACAAAAACAAAAAAAGCCAAACATTTAAATTATAGCTATGCTTTTACCTGTTCTCGTGGAATGCATGGGAGCGAGGTCCTCCGGTGGGACTTGCTGTTGCTGTGACTGTGCGCCATGTCTGAAGAGACCACCGAACTGGACCTCCGTCGCCTTTTAAACACCGGAATTATATTATCTTCCTTCCCCGCTGTCACGTAGCTACAATCCGCCCCGAGTGGCCCTGAGCCCGTCAGGAGCCGGTCAGCATACCTCGCTAGCAGGACCCCCAGCACTCCTACCAGGTACGCCAGGTAGGGTCTCCAGCTGGCCCGGACCTTGTTGAGGGAGATGAGAGACACAGTCCTGATGATGCTGATGAAGACGATGACGGAAACACCCTGTCCGAGTCTGACCACCATCAGCGCCCCGCCGGCTAGACAGGATAGAACCACAACGGTGGCGGTGAACGAGAGCAACTGGTCCTCCGCACCGTCCAGGAGAGACTGCGCCGCGGCTTCGCCCAAGTGACACACTGCCAACAGAAACACGGCGGTCCGGATCAGCACCCCGCAGCGGATCAGGTACAAGCCAACCCAAAAGAAGGCACATACGAGAGTGAAGACGGGGGACACCAGGTACCAAACGTTCAACAACAGTTCCACCACACAGCTCGCCACGAAATGAACTAGAGAACCAGACTCGCCGTTATTCTCGCTGTTACTGCGGCAACTCTGCTGCTCCACGTCCCAGTCAACCAATCTGACCAGCAAAGCAAGAATAACCGAGACAGAGCCCACACACACCGCCGACGACAGTCTCCGGGAACTCCATATTTCTGCGAGTCTCAGCCACGACTGGCAGCCCGCGTCCTGATACAGAGGGGTGACACATGTTTTCACATAGCCGTTGCGCTCCACCGCCCGCGGGCATTTCTCATGAGCGCTCCTTGATATACCTCTGCCGCTGTCAGCTTCCACTTCCATCGCCATCACACAGGGGGAAGGAAGGAAGCGGCGTGAACTATATATTTGCAGTGTGTAAATGTGAAAGGCTCAGTGCATTTTCAAACCATGTTTGACAGAGAGAGCCATAACGCGCGGCAGTGTATGGGACTGTGCGCTACTGCATGGGCGCTTCCAAATTATTGACCCATTTCTCCCCAAAACACACACACACACAAAGTAGGCTACATAAAAATACAGAACACGAATGAACGAAAAAACCTACTGGAAAAAGTAACCGTTCACTGTGTAGCCTTCAACAAACCACGTAAAACATCCCCATATTTTCTCTAGTCCTCCCTGCGCGGGAGCAGCCTCCATCCAGTGAACCAGAAAGAGCAACTCTTGGCGATTTGAACATCTAGGTCACTGCCTGCATCTCCGTCTCATCTCCCTCCCTATCTCTCCTCTCTCCTTTGTGCCGCTCCGTCTGTTTATCTCTCTCCGTGTTATTTCTCTCTCACGTTTCTTCTGCACTTCATAGGCTAGGCTACTACTCTCCTCTTGAAGAAACAGCAGCGGAGTTTGTCGAAGCGTGGCATACTGCTGCGTGGACGTAAACCATGTTTACATAGAGATTTCCTGCCGTTTTTTTATATTGTTATTTTTTTTTTAACGGAGATGAAAAGAGCCCCGGTTTGGTCCGGTGGCTCAAGAGGCGTCACAAAACAAATCAATGATGATGGTGATGGTATTGATTATAATGCTGATAATGAATGCAATATAATTAGGCCTATTTCCACGAACATCAGTTATAACATTTTCTGTAGGCTATGCTGGAAATAAATACCATGATGTCTTGATAGTCGAAAATGGCTCGTGATATTCTCAGTTCAGTAGGAAACCGGTTGCAGAAGATCCCACGTTTTTTCTATAGAAGTTGTTCATTGAATAATGCGTATTAAACTCACTTGCATCATGGGCTACGTCATCCAATCCATATCCTAAAAGGATTAGCTCAATTTACACCTCTTCTCTCATAGCATATTTTATGAAAGGAATGAACTTCAAAGGGTAACTTTTTTATGATTTTATCAAAGTAATTGATTTTAGGGAATGAGCCAAATCTATTGTCATGAAAGAGGAGTCCAGGCAGGTGCAACTGAAGGACAATCCACATGATGTAAGACTTGATCTGAGGTTTGTGATGTGGGATGAATGGCACCCTATTCCCTATACAGTAAAAAGTAGTGCTTTATATAGGGAATCGGTGCCATTTGGGACCCAAGTTAGATTTGGTATATAAACTCCTCACCTATTTTGGTAGAATATAAAAACTTTTGGGAACAGTGTATTATAGAGGAAAGGTGTTTGAGAGTGTGTTTACAGTATGTCACAGGTAAGAGTCAGACATGCAGTTGGTCCTCCAACCTACCTCCCTACCATCTCTGGGTTGTCACATTGTACCTTGTTAATGCATGACCTTACATGTACTTTTTATTTATTTATTTAACCCTTATTTTAACAGGTAAGTTGACTGAATATACATTCTCATTTACAGCAACAACCCAGGGAATAGTTACAGAGGAGAGGAAGGGAGATGAATGAGCCAATTGGAAGCTGGGGATGATTAGGTGGCCATGATGGTATAAGGACCAGATTGGGAATTTATCCAGGGAACCAGGGTTAACACACCTCTACTCTTACGATAAGTGCTGTGGAATCTTTAATTTAACGTCCCATCCGAAAGACAGCACCGTACACAGGGCAATGTCCCCAATCACTGCCCTGGGCCATTAGGATATCTTTCTAGACCAGAGGAAAGAGTGCCTCCTCCTGGTCCTCCAACACCAGTTCCAGCAGCATCTGGTCTCCCATCCAGGGACCGACCAGGACCAACCCTGCTTAGCTTCAGAGGCAACATTGTACATTGGCACTCAGGTGTTATACAAAAACACTAAAAGACGTTTAAATATGAACGGCAAAGCCCTGCTCATGAACTTAACATGTTTATTGGACAAAAGAGCGGAATAGGCCTAGGATATGGATCTCACATGGCAAGGAGCCTTTCAAACCAAACAGCTCTTAGCAGTCGCAGATGAAGAGAGTGTGATGTGTCAAACAGAGACCATCGCTAATGTACCCAAGCTAAAATAAACACGTGACTGACTCCAGATCAGAACATACAAGGAGGTGTGCACACACAGACAGACCTCTGTACATTTTGTGATTACCCTGAGTGTTTCGGTCACCTAGTTTTATGAGTGTTAGACCGGAGCCCTACCACAAAGGTTGAAATCATCTGTTTATGGTTCATAGACAGTCTTGTTAAGTATACCTACACTGTAAACACACTGTACTTACATAGTTTTTACAATGTTATTGTAAAGATGGCTGGTTGGAATGCAGCACCTCTCCTCTGTCTAGCCGTGCTTTGCTCAGTGGTGCTGAGGTCAGACCCCTTTTTAAAGGGTGCAGTATTCCTGTTAACGAGACACAATAGTTAGCAATCAACACAATTAGGACCAATTCCATTTCGCAGTACGACCAAATCCATTTCAAACCAACCCAAAGAGTTGCCTAGATGGTAACACTGCGTTACATTATTACAATGTTATTACTATGCAAGGTCAATGTATTGCAAAGTAGGACCAGTCTCTGTAACCTTAACAGGATCTGCTGGACCATGTAACCTTTCTCCTGGGCCCCCCAAGTGGCGCAGCAGTCTAAGGCACTGCATCGCAGTGCTAGAGGCGTCACTACAGAACCGCGACCGGGAGACCCATGAGGCGACGCAAAATTGGCCCAGCGTCGTCCGGGTTAGGGGAGGGTTTGGCCGGCTGGGATGTCCTTGTCCCGTCGCACTATAGGGACTCCTTGTGCCAACCGGGCGCATGCACGCTGACTTCGGTCGCCAGCTGTATGGTGTTTCCTCCGACACATTGGTGCGGCTGGCTTCCGGGTTAAGCGAGCAGTATGTCAAGAAGCAGTGCGGCTTGGCGGGGTCATGTATCAGAGGACGCATGGCTCTCGACCTTCGCCTCTCCCGAGTCTGTATGGGAGTTGCAGCGATGGGACAAGACTGTAACTACCAATTGGATATCACAAAATTGGGGAGAAAAAGGGGTAAAAAGTACAAAAAAATTAAATAAAAATTATATATATATATATATATATATACAGTACCAGTCAAAAGTTTGGACCCACCTACTCATTCAAGGGTTTTTCTTTATTTGTAAATTTTTTTACATTGTAGAATGATAGTGAAGACATCAAATCGATGAAATAACACATATGGAATCATGTAGTAACCAAAAAAGTGTTAAACAAATCAAAATATATTTTATATTTGAGATTCTTCAAATAGCCACCGTTTGCCTTGATGACAGCTTTGCACACTCTTGGCATTCTCTCAACCAGCTTCACCTGGAATGCTTTTCCAACAGTCTTGAAGGAGTTCCCACATATGCTGAGCACTTGTTGGCTGCTTTTCCTTCACTCTGCCGTCCGACTCATCCCAAACCATCTCAATTGGGTTGATGTCGGGGGATTGTGGATGCCAGGTCATCTGATGCAGCACTCCATCACTCTCCTTCTTGATAAAATAGCCCTTACACAGCCTGGAGGTGTGTTAGATCATTGTCCTGTTGAAAAACAAATGATAGTCCCACTAAGCCCAAACCAGATGGGATGGCGTATCGCTGCAGAATGCTGTGGTAGCCATGCTGGTTAAGTGTGCCTTGAATTCTAAATAAATCAAAGACAGTGTCACCAGCAAAGCACCCCCACACCATAACACCTCCTCCTCCATGCTTTACGGTGGGAACTACACATGCGGAGATCATCCGTTCACCCACACCGCATCTAACAAAGACACAGCGGTTGGAACCAAAAATCTCAAATTTGGACTCCAGACCAAAGGACACATTTCCACTGGTCTAATGTCCATTGCTCGTGTTTCTTGGCCCAAGCAGGTCTCTTCTTATTATTGGTGTCCTTTAGTAGTGGTTTCTTTGCAGCAATTCGACCATGAAGGCCTGATTCACACAGTCCCCTCTGAACAGTTATTGTTGAGATGTGTCTGTTACTTGAACTCTGTGAAGCATTTCTTTGGGCTGCAATTTCTGAGGCTGGTAACTCTAATGAACATATCCTCTGCAGCAGAGGTAACTCTGGGTCTTCCATTCCTGTGGCGATCCTCATGAGAGCCTGTTTCATTATAGCTCTTGATGGTTTTTGCGACTGCACTGACCTTCATGTCTTAAAGTAATGATGGACTGTCGTTTCTCTTTGCTTATTTGAGCTGTTCTTGCCATAATATGGACTTGGTCTTTTACCAAATAGGGCTATCTTCTGTAAACCTCCCCTACCTTGTCACAACACAACTGATTGGCTCAAACACATTAAGAAGGAAAGAAATTCCACAAATTAATTTTTAAGAAGGCACACCTGTTAATTGAAATGCATTCCAGGTGACTACCTCATGAAGCTGGTTGAGAGAATGCCAAGAGTGTGCAAAGCTGTCATCAAGGCAAAGGGTGGCTATTTGAAGGATCTCAAATATAAAATACATTTTGATTTGTTTAACACTTTTTTGGTTACTACATGATTCCATATGTGTTATTTCATAGTTTTGATGTCTTCACTATTATTCTACAATGTAAAAAATAATACAAATAAAGAAAAATCCTTTGACTGGTAGTGTATGTAATAATACCTTTCTCCTGTTGCTCTGTAAGAAGCCTAGATACAGCGACAGAGTGTTTAACATTCAGACAAGATACTCCCGCCAATGCCCTGCTATCCACTGGGGCTTTCAAAAATAATCCTGCCCTTTCTGTGACTGTATCCCAGAGCCAAATCGGTGACTCTGAAACCCATTAGGTGGGACATGCAGCAGCTGAGCACAGGGAGGATCCAACCTGGGAGAGGGTTCAATTCTGACTGCTGGTACATCAGTGGTGCTGACATGAACCCTGTCTTGGCAGGGGACAGGCTGGGATAATAACAATCCTTAACCTTAAGTCCCGAACCTCCATGTTGTCCTC